AAACCTATGTTTATGAAAATTGAAGCTTTTGTTTTTTTGCGGCCCACATAAACTTAAACCTTATTTGGCCCTTGTTAGCCTTTGAGTTTGACATGCTTGCTTTAGAGACAGAAAGCAAAAGAGATCAATGCAACAGCAATGAATAAATAAAACTGCTTCAGCAAATTTACTTCATAGGAGCATTTAGGAAAATGAAAACCAAAGCTGCCCCTGACTCTCTAATCAAAGCTGGCTAATCTGAGTAAATTATATGAACTAAGATCTATGAATAAAAGAGATGTTTTTATAAAACATAATAAAATCTGTGAAAAATAATTAAATCTATGCAAGATGTAAATTCTACGTTCATTTTGTGATTTGTCAGAAGAGTCTGTTCTTCAGGGTTTAAAACTTATGGTGTGACAAGGATGTGCCCCATATCCAATGCCCATTTCATCTTGGCTTTGCCTTTACTGAGTAATCAATGCTTAGATAAGATCTGGTTGACGGATCTGCAGTAGTTCTATCAACAACAGCCAGGGTTTAGGAAAGATGTTAAACTGACACGTGTTTATTAATCACTATCTGAAATAGCATGTGATGTTAGGAATTAAAACCAATTTTAAACATGTTTGTCTAACTTTTTTCCCTTGGCACAAAAGAGAATCTAGGGCTCTAGCCAGTTTGGCTCCATGGACAGAGTGTCAGCCTACAGGCTGAGGGTCCCGGGTTCGATCCCAGTCAAGGGTACGTGCCTGGGGTTGTGGGTTGATCCCCAATAGGGAGTGTGCAGGAGGCAGCCAATCAATGATTCTCTCTCATCACTAATGTTTTTATCTCTTTCTCCCTCTCCCTTCCTCTCTGAAATCAATAAAAAAATATTTTTTTAAAAAAGAGAATCTAGGATATAGCAAGCAAAGAAAATAAGAAAAGTGTTAAAGAAAAAGGTGATAAGAACTTCTATAAATACTCATTTTTTAAGAAATCTATTCAATGGTCCGATTCATCTTTGGAGTGTGCCTAATTAATATTTTTTGAGCCCTAGCTGGTTTTGCTCAGTGGACAGAGCTTTCAACCTGCAGACGGAAGGCCCCTAGGTTCGATTCTGATTAAGGGCACATGCCCAGGTAGTGGGCTTGATCCCCAGTAGGGGGTGTGCAGGAGGCAATCAATGATTCTCTCTCATCATTGATGTTTCTGTCTCTCTTTCTCTCTCCCTTCCTCTCTGAAATCAATAAAAATATATTTAAAAATATTTTTTGAAAGAATAAACTCACTTTAATAGTGTTTATAATACAGAAAAAAATTGAGAGGGCTGGGACAGTTAATTAACTCTTTGGAAAAACAAACTTATTATTATATTTTAATATATCCTATTGATTTTTTTTACAGAGAGGAAGGGAGAGGGATAGAGAGTTAGAATCATCGATGAGAGAAAAATATCGATCAGCTGCCTCCTGCATGCCCCCCACTGGGGATGTGCCCGCAACCCAAGTACATGCCCTCGACAGGAATCGAACCTGAGACCCTTGAGTCCGCAGGCCGATGCTCTATCCACTGAGCCAAACCGGCTACGGCCAAACTTATTTTTTTTAACTTTATACAATACAGAGCAAAATAAATTTCAGATGGAACAAAAAGTAAAACCTAACATTAAGTAAAAACAAAATGAGTAGAAGAAAATATAGCTACTGTTGCATCAACATGGAGAAAACTTTTATGTGTGTAAAAGAAATAAAAATGATAAATAGCCTTGACTACATTAAAAATGAAAATTGTTCATTTAAAAATGTAAATAGCCCTAGCCAGTTTGTCGACCTGCAGACCGAAGGGTCCCGGGTTCGATTCGGGTCAAGGGCACATGTACCTCCATTGTAGGCTCCTCCTCCCTGGCCTGGGCCCTGGTCGGGGCATGTGCAGGAGGCAACCAATCAATGTGTTACTCTCACATGGATATTTCTCTCTGTCTTTCTCTCTCTCTTCCACTTTCTCTAAAAAGTACTGGAAAAATATCTTTGTGAGGATTAATACACATACACACACACACACACACACACACACACACACACACACACACACATATCCCTTGCTGATTTTTCTCCGTGGTTAGAGTGGTAGCCTGCACTGAAGGGTCATGGGTTGGATTTCAATCAAGGGCACATGCCTCAATTGCAGGCTTGATCTCCGGCATGGTCAGGGAACCCTGCGGGAGGCAACCAATCGATGTGATCAATGTTTCTCTCTTTTCCCCCTTCCCTTCCACTCTCTCTAAAAATCAATGGAGCCCTAGCTGGTTTGGTCACTGGATAGAGCATCGGCCTGGGGAATGAAGGGGTCCCAGGTTCAATTCCGGTCAAGGGCATGTACCTTGGTTGTAGGCACATCCCCAGTAGGGGGTGTGGAGGTGGCAGCTGATCAATGCTTCTCTCTCATCGATATTTCTAGCTCTCTATCCCTCTCCCGTCCTCTCTGTAAAAAATATGCTCGGGCAAGGATTAACAAAAAAATATATATGTATATAAATATATATTAAAGACAAATAAAAAACTGGGAAAATATTTGCAGATATAAACCAAGGATTTTAAAGAGTTATTACAAAGCAATAACAACAACAAAAAAGAAATAACACCTAACCTAAGAGGTGATTCACAAAAAAAATTCAAACCAGTAAATGCACAGATAAGTTAAGCTTTATTAGTAATCTAAAAACATATATTGAAAAACATTTGACCACTAAATTGGAAATATATAATTATTACAAAATTTATTCAGCATCTACTGTTTCTAATCAAACAAACAAAAATCCCTTGGCTCATGGAAGATGGCATAAAAACTGACACAAAAGCTGATATTGATAGAGAAGCAGATGAATCAGCCTAAATATCCAACAAAGCAGCACTGCATTAAACAAAGATATATGCTCAGTTGGAATAGTATGTAGTGGTTAAAAAGTTATATTTTGGCCGAAACCGGTTTGGCTCAGTGGATAGAACGTCGGTCTGCGGACTGAAGGGTCCCAGGTTCGATTCCGGTCAAGGGCATGTACCTTGGTTGCGGGCACATCCCCAGTGGGAGATGTGCAGGAGGCAGCTTATCGATGTTTCTCTCTCATCGATGTTTCTAACTCTCTATCTCTCTCCCTTCCTCTCTGTAAAAAATCAATAAAAATATATATTTTTTAAAAAAGTTATATTTTGAAGAAAATTTGACAATATGGAAAACAGTCACAATGTATCAAAAGAAAACACAGGTTATATCAAATATTATTTGGAATAGGGCCCATGAAATTCTCTGGGGAGTAAAGGTAATGGGTATTTTAAAATTTTATCTTATATTCTCTACATTTTCTTTAATATATATTACATTTCAAAAAATAAGTTTAAAAAAATCTGAGTGTTTATTACCTTAAGTATGAAAACAGATAAATCAGAAATCACATTAAAAACCTAGAAATACTTAAATATAACACAAAATTTAGCAATATATTTTCTAATACTGGCAGTATGCCTGGCTTTAATTTTTACTTTCTTTCCTTTCAGTGTGTTAACTAAAATGACGAGCTTATTTTCCTTACCTTTGAAAAGTCCTTTGATACCTCCCATCTTTTTTACCATTTGTGCAAATTTGGTATATTGTGTCAAAAGCTCTTGAACGTCTCTCGTTGACACACCTGATCCTCTTGCTACTCTCTGGATTCTTCCTGGTTGCTTACTAAAAACCTTGGCACCATCTGTACTGTCAAGTTCTGCAGGCAAGGAAGGGTCCATCATTTTCACTTACATACCATTAACTTTCATTATCAAAGCAGTTATATGCAAATATCTTACACACATAAAAATAATTATAATGGACAAACCACAACCAGATTTAACAAATGTTATCAGCCCTGTTTACCTGATTATTAAACATGGAATATATTACAAAGAAATTTATATTCATAAGCTATATAAAAAACAAAAAAACTAGTATGTACTTACCCTACAGTTTAAGTAAAATAGAACATTCTGAAAACCTTTGAAATGCATGTCCATCCTTTCCATATCTCATATCTAACTGCTCCTCAGAGCATGTATCAGAGCTAAAAGGTATATTTCAAAAAAGAACAAAAGTGCTCACCTTAGCTCTAAATGCCATTAACCTTTAAGTCATAAATTTAGGCATATAAGCAAGCAAGAGTAGGTAGATCTACCTATATTAACAGAATAATTGTTATATTTTCTATTATCAAGTAATTATTACTAGTATTTTAATCCTTTCTGTAACATAAAGAATGAGTTAATTTGCTTCAGTGTTTTGATAACTCTTAGAATATGAGGCACATTTCTTCTGGTATTAGTTGCATAAAATCTCAGATATGAAATGGCTTTTAATCAAAATTTCTATTATGCCTGCATTCTCTCTACAACATCCCCCAATAAGTGGTCATCTATCCTCGGCCTTGATATCCCCAGGAGAGATAACCCACTATCTAACATAAGGCAATCTATACCATTCTATTATTTCTGTAATTATAGAAAATCTTTTTACATATTAAAATGAAATGTTTTCCTGCTATTTCTTCCCATTTGCATAAATGTCTCCTCAGCAGGCACAAAGAATAAGTCTTTCAAATATTTGAGAGCCACGTGTGACCTATAAATTTTCTCTAGGTAACAAATACCCAACTCTTTAGAACTCCATTTATCATCCTGATTTTCTAAATACAACTTCTAATTTGTCTATGCCCTCTAAGCATTCTGTCCAGAAGTAAACTGAAATCCAGGTGAAGTCTGATTACCAATACAATACAATATTAAATTGTCACATAATAAGCTTTTAGTACCTTAAAACTTCTAAATCAATTTCATAAATGCAGATTTTAAGCCATATCTTCACTATTAAATATTTAGGAAATGTGTATCATATTTCTTTCAAGAGCTCAGAGTGAGAGAAAGAAGATAAACTAATAACAGCACATCATGGTAAGCAATATGATAGAGTTAAGCAAATAGCAGAAGGAGACATAATTTAAAGAAGTCAGAAAGAGTCCATGTGGTGGTTTCTCTTTAAGTGAGTAGTCCTGAAGGACAAGTATGAGGTAAGTACAGAAGAGAAAGGAGAAGGGGACATTCTAGAAAGCAGAACATAGATTCCTACAGTAATAACTATGTGTAGAAGAAATCAAGCATGGGTAAGAGCTGAGAGATTTAATAAGTTGTAAAAGTAAGGTAAGGGCAAGTTATAACAGAACTTGTATGCCAAGCTTAGGAGTTTGAAATTCATCATGAAGACAATAAAGAACAATTGAAAGATTTGAGCCCAGAACTATTATGTTTAGAAAGACCATTCTGTGGCAGTGAGGAAGAAAGATTGAAAAGAGGAGCGAAAAAATAGAAAGGGAAATGTTAGGGAGGCTAATGTAGCTATGAAGGGGATATAGAGGCAAAGAAAACAGGGAATTTATGAGAAATATTTAGGAAGTAGAGCTCACTAAAATCTAAGGTGATGTTAAGATTTCTATATTTCACTTGAAGTGGTAAAACATTGATACAAGTAGCCGTGGTAAGTTAAATATGTATGTACGTTGTAATACTTAGAGCAGTCACTAAGAAAATATTCAGAGATATACTCAATAACACTGTAGGTAATTTAAATAATGTTCAAATAACCCATAGGCACATAGAAAAGAGAAAGCAGAAGAACAAAATCAGAGGGAACAAACAGAATTAGAAATAAATCCTAATATATAAACAATATATCAGTTAAAAGAGATCATCAGAATGTATTAAGAGATAAACCACCCAATTACATGCTGTTGATATAAAACTCACTTTAAATATGACACCCTGCAGGGACTTGGAGTACTATGCTAAGTGAAATAAGCCAGTCAGAGAAAGACAAGTATCACATGATCTCACTCATATGTAGAATATAAAGAACAAAATAAACTGATGAACTAAACAGATCTAGAGACACAGAAACATGGAAAAGACTGATGAAGCTCAGAGGGAAGGTAGAGGTGAATGGATGGTAGGAAGAGATTAACCAAAGAACTTATATGTATACTAGAGGCCTGGTGCACGAAATTCGTGCAGGGGTGGGGGGGGGTTCCCTCAGCCTGACCTGCACCCTCTCCAATCCGAGAGCCCTCAGGAGTTGTCCTACTGATGGCTTGGGCCCGCTCCCCTTGGTTTTCTGCTCTCTGTGGGGCCTGCCTGCTCCACACCACGGTGATGGGCAAGCAGGCGCTGCTGGGTGCTGCCTGCGGGCCGTGCTTGCCTGCTCGTGGGTGACTGTGGCCATGGCCAAGTAGGCCCTGCTGGCCTCAGACACTCCAGAGGCAGCAGAGCAGCGAGGCTTGATCCTCTACTGGAGTGGGCGGATCCTGCCTCTCCGCTTGGTCCCTGCGACCTCTGGCCAGGCCGACAGGCCCAAACATTCCAGCGATGGGGCTGAGGGGACTGGGCACTGCCATCTTGCGGCTATGGGCGCCACCATCTTTGTGACAGAGTGATGGTTAATTTTGCATATTACTCTCTTATTAGATAGGATATACATAACCCAAGGACACGGACAAGTATGGTGAAAGCCTGGGGCGAAGGAGTGGGGGGAAGTGGGCTAGAAAGAGTCAACGGGGGAAAAAAGAGGACATCTGTAATACTTCCAACAATAAAGATATATTTTTAAAAATTTGATATAGGTAAGTTAAAAATAAAAAGATGGATCCAGCTGGCATGGCTCAGTGGTTGAGGGTTGATCTATATAAACCAGGAGATCATAGTTTGATTCCTGGTCAGGGCACATGCCCAGATTGCAGGCTTGATCCCCCGTGTGAGGGCATGCAGGAGGCAGCTGACCAATGATTCTCTCTCATCACTGTTGTTTCCACCTACAATGCAAACAACTAATTAAAAAAAACTGAAGCCTGGCCGGTGTGGCTCAGTTGATTGAGCCTTGTCCCATGCACCCAGAGGGGCTGGTTCGATTCCTGTACAAGGCACAAGCCCAGGTTGTGGCCCAATCCCCAGTAGGGGGCAGCCAATTGATGGTTCTCTCTCATCGATGTTTCTATCTCCCTTCCTTTCTCTCTCTGAAATCAGTAAAAACATATTAAAAAAAAGTTGAAGAGGTTGCATTAATATCAAAGTAGATTCAGAACAAAGGAGGACATTACATACATAATGGTAAAAGGGTCCTTCACCAAGGAGACATAAAAATTCTAAATGTGTATACACCCAACAAAAAAGCTTCAAAATATATAAAGCAAAACTGACATAATTGAAAAGAGAAAAGTTAGGCATTTTAATACCTCTATCTTCACATTCAATACAACCATTAAACCAAAAAATCAGCGAGGATATAAATCTAAGTTGACCCATTTCTAGTTTGGGTGACTGAGGAGATAGATAGAAGTGTCACTCACTAAGGGAGAAGCACTACATTTTGGATCTGATTTGCCTCAGAAAATTTTCAAACATAAAAACAAAGATGTCCATCATTTAGTGAGCATCTAAGAGAAGGTGATCCAGAGTGTAGACTCTTGAGCCAAGAATGATTGAGTTTGAAGCCCACCTTCTCCACTCCAGCTAGTGATTTTGAGGAAATTATTCAACCTCCCTGCATCTCAGTTTCCTAATCTGTAAAAGCTAGATAACAATGGATTTTGACTCCAGAATTGTCCCTTAAGATTTGTCATGAAAATTAAGTGGGTTAATAATATCTGTTCCTCAGGACAGTGCCTAAGGACAATGCCTAGGACAGAGTAAAGTACTCTAGATATGGCTGCAATTATTAATTCTGTATGCAAAACTTCTTGCAGTGTTAAAGAGAAGAGATAAGAAAGACAGAATCTTATTTAAATTACTATGAAAGCCTAGAGCTTAGGAAAGAGGTAGAGACAAAAAAAAGCATGTATTTCTTTGTAAATGAGGTCAGAAGTCAAGTGGTAAAGAGCCTTAAAAAAGGGTATGTATGATATACATGCTGGATTGAATCAGAAAGGGTGCTTAAAAACTAGTAAAAAGATCAAGGGGTCTTGGGACTAGAAATGCTAATGGAATGAGAACCAGATAAAAGACCTGAAATATAGAAGGCAGTGATATTAAAGGATTAGAGAGATAGAGCAATGTACTTCATCTAAGAAGACTGAAAAATGAACAATCAGTTTCAGAGCAAAATAAGTTTGTAAACATTGCTTAAACTATCCCTCTCTCATAAATATCATTTCACGTTAGCATACTAGAGATCTGAAGAGACTTATAAATACACTTATTAGTTTCTTTTAAACCTGGCCTTCCACCAAATTTATTTGACTACAGAGCTCCCCTTTTAAGTTCTTTCTACCAACATCATGAAGAACTAGTGTTGTTTCCATTGAACTAGACCTTTTTCTCAATGATGAAGTCTATCTACTAATAATTAACCTCTGAGTAAGAGCTTTCAAACAAATACAGATCTACCTAACAAAAGCCTGCAGTCTCAATTTTTCTCCATCTTGTCCACAAGGCCACAGTGAAACTCTCAACTTGCTGATATGCAGAACAAGTAATCTACCAACTTACCTTGATCATTCATACTATCCATTATCGTCATTAATTTCTTTAGCCTTGCCATTGACTCCTGTTCATTTCCTTTGCTCATAAAATCTGTTCCAAAACCAGGGATCATCCCCTAAAACAGACATATTTAAACATAAAATCAATAATAGCGTGAGATGAATTATTCCGAATGTTGACATTTAATTATTGGCTTTTTTTTCTGAAAAGATTTTTTATTCAGAGTTTAAGATTAAAAACTACAAGAATTTACTTGTAGCTGATGAGCAGAGAGAAAAAAACATAAATCATCATCTGATTGGCTAGTTAAAATGCTCTGACTCAGAGTCAAATTACTCAGGGACATGTAGTTACTCTGTGTGGGCTTAGGAGTTCTGGAGCAAAATAGTTCTAAACAAAACGTATCATCTCAGAGCACAGGGCTAACGAGATCTGAAATACTGAGTAAGAAAGCTAATAAAGGGAGGTTGTGAGACCTTTTGATTCTTTTAGGCTTCTAGCAGTTGGTTACCATATGCAAGGATCTAGCAGCGAGTTATTTTATCTCTTGACTTGTCTGAGATAAGTCAAGAATTCACTAAGCAGGAATAAAGAGACACTTTATCGATCAGTTAAAAAACATAAAGTAGTCCCACCTCTCCAGTAGAATTTTAGTTGAATTAAATCATAAGGGAAACAATGATTATTGCACATAATGTACTTGTCACACTACATCTGTTGAGTAGAATTTCCATTCCAAGTGTTGTTTTCATCTTCACCATCATCTTGAGTCCTCAATCTATATATCTTCCCCTCTTTTTTAAAGTCTTCTCCCCGTTTCTCCAGCACTCTTTTTCTGACAGGTTCCCTGATATAACAAAAGAGGGAGAAAAGAGAAGATGTAATAAAATGAA